GAGAGACAGGCAGCTAATTCTCGAGCTTATTATTTGCGAGTTATCTGCGACATTTTTGCGTCGGGTGGCGTTGCCGCGACTACGCGTACGCTAGCGCTACGCTGTTAAACGAGGAACAATAGGGATGGCGACCTTCGAGCTCTCCTTGCCCCCAGCTCCCACTCCCCTTTCTCGTTTCTCTCCCTGCCCCCAGCTCCCACTCCCCTTTCTCGTTTCTCTCCCTGCCCCCAGCTCCCACTCCCCTTTCTCGTTTCTCTCCCTCGCACTCCGGGCCAAGGAGTCGGACACCTATTGGCCCACGATGGTGACCGCGGCGGGGCGCCCGCTCTTACAGGACCTTACAGGACCTTTTACTGAAAAAAGTGACATTTTTGTGGCATGCAGAATACCTGGAAGGCAGGAGAATGCAAATGTGGCGCATTATTGAAAATATGCAAACGACAGGCGTCCAGCTGCTAGCGTCGCTTTGACGTGGCTTTGCCGCGGCTCAAGTTCTTAGTGGGCGCGCTGACCGACTCGCTTTTTTACGACAAAAAACAATGTTGATTCTTTTTAGCGGAAACCCGCGGAGGGGACGGTTATAGGCGGTTACCTGTATTTGTAAGGCGATTTTCCCTGCAAGGGGAGGGCCAAAGTGGGGTTTACTGCTAATTGTGTGGCTACGCGGGAGCGATGTTTCACACGAGAAAATAGGCACGTTTCGCTCGAAATTGTTGTTAGGCAAAATTGCGCTCGCCGTTTGCATATATGTTTATTTGTCCGTTGTGCCGCCGCGCGTGTTCGATGATTTGCGTATTTGCAGGCAATCAGCGCGTTGTGTATACGCACGCAGCCCTTACAGCAGCGTGCGCTCTCCGCGGTCACCTTAACGATATATGTGTGAAGAGAGAGAGAGGGTGAGGGAGTGAGTAAGAGAGAGAGAGAGAGAGCAAGAGAGAGTTACGCAAGGGTGCAGTTGCCCATTGAACGTGCATGCTCTGGCACATCCGCGTACGCGCTTGTTGGGACTTGTTGATCGACAATTTATTTTTTATGTAATCGTATATGATCGTGTAAGCGTGCTTGCTTGTATTGCGTAGCACGGATCAAGAACGAGCTAACCCCGGGGATGTGATTTTCACGGGCACATTGAGGCTGTGTTCGTAGTGAATCAAGTTCTACTATCGTATTATACGCTACGCACGTATAGATTACGCACGTAGTAGATTCACGTTAGCTCATACGCCTATAAACGGCTCAATATTTACGATTTCACTCGTGACGTACCCGCTCGCGTAGGCTCCATATTGTATATACCATATAATATATCATATACATACAAGATATATATATATCATATATACCATATACGCCATATATATACCATATACATAATGTCCATATATCGGCTCTTCACGGATAGTGTGAAAATATGGTTTTGTTTGATTGTTGTTGTTTGGTTTTGTTTATATTTGTGGCCGCTAAAGTGCGCTAATACATATAAGCGAAAATATGCCTATCGTGATTCTTAACGAGATCCCTTATATTGCTTTTATTTGCGTGGAATACGTTCAATGCTAGTGTGAACGTAGATATCTCAAAGAAACTAGAGCAAAGCTAGAGAGCCGCAGCAGACTCAATTGCGAACGTGAATCTCAGAAGCAGTCTAGCTGCGGCTGCTGGCGCCGACCGTCGCACACGTCCCGTTTCATCCATGCTTGTTTACTATCGCTTATATAGTCCAAAGTGCAATTGTGGAAACCTCCGACGCACTCCCTGCCTGGGCCTACTGCCCCCATCGCCTTATCTGAATTCAGAACGTGTTATGTGGTACACTTCCAAGGTTGAATTTACGCACTGCATTCTGCTTCGCCTGCTCCGACACCGTGCAATTTTGCATGCAAATATTGTGCTTCTATCTTTGCTGCTGTCGAAGACTGTCATTGCAAAAACAAGTCGGACGAGTTCTCGAGTGGACTCGGCTGCAGCGAGATCCTGACGCGGAGGGGAGGAGAGACGGGGGTGGGGGTGGAAAGGAAGAGAAGGGGCGAGAGAGGGGGGTGGAAAAAGAAAAAGAGGGGAGTGCAAGTTAAATAGCTATATAGAGAAAAGATCGAGAGGCTGACATATATATATATATATATATATATATATATATATATATAGAGAGAGAGAGAGAGAGAGAGAGAGAGAGGAGGGGGGGGAGGAGGGAGAGTGCGTACGTACGTGCGTGCGTTCGTGCGTGAGAGAAAGAGGCATCGCCGGTTTGTGCGCTGTTACACCCCGAGGCAGAACCACTCTGTTGTTTCGCGGCCGGCTCCTGTAGTATTCAGTCTTACTCTCGAGGCCATTGGAAAGTAAATGCCACCATTTAGAAACTGGTTATCTCTGGCGAATGAGAGCGAGAGAGAGAGAGGGAGAGGGGGAGAGAGATGCGTCTACTACATATAGCCTGCGGGAGATACGATGCCGGGGTGCTGCTCGCGCCGGAGAAGATGAGACAGCGCGCGCGCGAGAGCGAGAGAGAGATAGAGAGAGAGAGAGAGTGGGGGGGGCAGCGAGAGAGAGAGAGAGAGAGAAAGATAGAGAGAGAGAGGGAGAGAGAGAGGAAGAGGGAGAGAGAGAGAGAGGGAGAGGGGGAGAGAGATGCATCTACTACATATAGCCTGCGGGAGATACGATGCCGGGGTGCTGCTCGCGCCGGAGAAGATGAGACAGCGCGCGCGCGAGAGTGAGAGAGAGATAGAGAGAGAGAGAGAGAGAGAGAGAGAGAGAGAGAGCGAGAGAGAGCGTCAGTGAGGAGAGAAGGGGGGAAGGCTAATGCTACTACCTACGCCGACATGGTCGGGCGCGGAGAGCGTGCGCACGGGACGTCCATGCGAGACGCTGCGTGTTAGGTTCGCCCCGCGCGTCGCCGATGTTTGTTTGT